GTGCAAGAACAGAATGTACGGCTTGTGAAAACACTGAGGGAGAAAGATGACGCTAATTTGAATCAAATGGCTGAATGGATGAAGACAAGTCAACTCGCCCGTCTTCTGAAAGAAGATAAAAAGCTGCTGGATGAACAAGTCCGTCTGATGCAGGCTAAGATTGAAGCACTTAAGCGCACAACGCAGAAACAGGAAGACAAGGTGATTTCATATTGCCTAACAAATGTATCTGTCATGGCTTCGCATCCTAAAATAGTCGCTTGCAGTGTTTGTAGGCGGTAGAATCCACAACACCTACGTAAACTCCTTACTGGACATTAATTGAGCCCTTCGCTTTCTCATGCCGCGCTAGTCATCTGATGTTGAAGAGGGCTGTCTGACTCTACTGAATTACTGCGAATTGGAGGTTCCATAACAAATGGCACACCCACTACTGTCTTGCCGTCAGCATTAGTCGGTTATTCACTCCCATATGACTGACGATTGTTGATCACAACTGATAAGACAGTCCACTGGAAAATCACTCAACGACCTCAGTACTTCCGACCTTACTAGTTGCCGATAGTCAAAGATGCAGACAGAAGCCTTCTAGCCTCTATTTTTTAACGGCACTGTTTATCGACCAGATATCACTACGTAAACGGCCTTGGCGACCACACCAAAACTCGAAGGCAGGGCTGAATGCGGCACAATGAACGACACAGACGTCGATGCAATCCAGTTGACTATAATATTGCTATCGGCTGGAGTCCAGAACACCCCGCCAGGTGATGATCCAGGTCAATCAGTACAACCTGTCTCTGTTTTAACGCCTGCCCTTAGATGTAGGAAATAACCGCTACTTACTATCTTTAATCAGTACTTCCCTTTTGATTGAAACAACCCGTCAGGCATTAAACTTCTACGCGGGCAGTCTGCGTACACTTTACATCCTGTTGAATGCTACTAAAACAGTTTCATTCAATGATCACTCTCACAGGAACGCCTTCTGCTGACTAATATTGCCACACTAGAAAAGGAGGCCACTGCCAGACAACAATCTCAAGAGGCTTACAAGAGGAAGGCGGTCGAATGTCAACAGCAAGCAGAGGATCTTCGAGTCACAGTTCAGAAGTACGTGGGACAGTTAAATGAGGCCCAGACAATTGTGCAGGAGAAGGCTTCTGCCTATGAACAGGTCTCTTTTCGTCATCAACGTCTGCAGGTGAATTGCAGTCCTCTACTAATGCCCTTACTATTTGTTTCCTAGTCACATAGCTGGCTTGCTGTCCGTAGTGAGCCAAGATCCCTGCC